TTCTCTTCGTTCGTAGCCAGTGACCCAATCAACTCGTCTATGGCTAATGTCTCAAGATTCTTTGCTTCTTCTATGGCTGTTGCTTTTGGAGTCCACTTCTCAGGCAGACACCAAAAGATTTTCCTCACTAGATCACCACTTTCATACGATTTTCCTAAATTCTCCAAACTATTCACAATGTTGGTAAACCTTTCATACATTTGCCTAATCGACTCTCCATCCTCCATTTTGAACAGTTCAAACTGATGTTTCAGTGCATTTATACGAGAAGTTTTAACCTGGGATGTACCTTCATAGGTGACCTGCAACTTGTCCCAGATTTCCTTGGCTGTCTTGCATCCAGCCACTTTGTGATACTCCTCTGGTCCCAAGGCACAGTACATCAAATTTGTCGCCTTACAATTTTGCTGAAACTTCTCGAAATCTTCATCTGACCATTTCTCTTGATCGTCCTTGAGTTCATGGGGACCCTTGATCACTCTAGCCCATAAATTAGGATCAGTAGATCCGACGAACAGCTCCATCCTGTTTTTCCAATACCCGTAATTTACACCTTCGAACCTTGGAGGTCGATTCTGAGAGAACCCATCTGCGAGATACAGTGGTGCGTTGCTTGCTGACCCAGATGCCATCCTTGAATCTACCAGAGGTTGTGAAACCCTTTTCAACTGGTAACGGGGCTCTGATACCACGTGTTAGTGGAGTGGAGCGCGAGACGCCTCCTATGCGCGATTCGTAATTTGGTTCCTGCTAACCCTAAACTCCCTTTCGGGAAGATCAAGTGTAGATGAAAATAAACGATTGCTAAATCGAAAACAATTAGGAAACCAACTCAAGTATATGTTTGTAGGCCGAGGGATTACTTTCCTGTGTTGGGCTCAACTGTACCGACCCACTCAAATTATAAGCCTGCGAATTACTCACCTCTAGCAAAACGACTCGTTTTACTTATCCTGTTCAGCACCTTCTTCTTCCTTCGCAACGACCTGGTTTCTTTGATCAGACTCGAACTCACCTGCCACTACAAAACAGAGAATAGCCACCCAAACAAAGATATAGTGCTGAATTGAAGACACGAGCTCAGTTTTTACGTGGTTTCCAGTATTGGGAGGAAATGAATCCCAATACTGACTACTCCACGGTTGGAAGATCACGATTTGTGACTTCCAGCGATTCACTAGATGAGTTGTTCTTGATCTATGACAGTTATACACTCACGAGATCAACCAAACCAATCCTGGATGGTAGATCGAGATTTCTATCAACTAATCCCAATCCCAAGCTATCCAGCTTCTGTGTTTTCCAACACTCTTTCTCTCTAACACTGTTTCACTCCAGAACCAATGCTAAAACCCCTTTTCCCTATCAATCACACTTGCTATATCCCTAGCGTTTCCTGTGTAATTTGATCTCCTGGAAAAGTGTTTTCTTCTTGATTCCGAGCGAGCTATTTGTATTCCATGTTGGCTAGCCGTTGTCTTCCAAGTATGGTAGGTCTTCTCCTTTGAATTCCTTCCTGGAATTCCTTGTCTCAATCAATCCTTCTGATTCTCCAAATATGCTTTCCCTTCGTTCATATTTCTTTCCAAATGCTGCTTTACCAAGATCACAGTCTCTTTTTCTTGATTTAGGATTATTGACTGGCTTGATTTGTCAACAATCGATTGGGTCGAGAAATACTCGTTCAACATTCAACTCGTAATTTAACGAGCCAATTCATCAACCAACTCTATCATTAGTGAATAAATCAAGCTTGAGCTAGACTCTACTCAGCCTATTAGGCTCACAAGCTAAGTTCAAGAATTGGAGCTTGGAGATATTGTTACCTGTCGTCTGAAAATTGAAGACCAACCAGATCAAATATATTTTTTATGTATGCTTCACACATTGGGGCATTGCTTCCTTGACCAGGCGAGGATGAAGAATATTAGAGAAACCCATCCACTTCGAGATCACCTTCTATTTGAGATATGCTTTAAAATCAATTTTTTAATGATCCAATTTGACAAGAAACCCTTCACCAAGTAAGTATCCAATGGATAACCTATCTCGTTTGGCAAACTAATTCATCATACGAGAGTATGAATATATCACATGATGATTTAAACTATGAAATACCACTACTTATTGGACATGCACCCACATTAATTGATTGTTTTCTTCTGAAAAAAGAATATACAATTATTTGTTTTTTCCCTACAAGAAACAACAGCTTTTGCGAGATCCCTGAGTTTGTTTGTGTTGAACTCTGTAGAATACTGAATTAGAGGGCTGAAGTAGATAAGTCACTGCAGGACAGCCTTCATGCGACCAGATTGGGTAGAAGCTAAGGTAGATAATAGTATTACATGTATATGCTTAATGCTTTCCATTTCAATTAACCGTTGTACAGTTTGAGAGGCTCTCAAATGAGTCTTTTTCCTTTTGAGTAGTTTGAGTTTAATGCAATTTTTGATTAACCATAAACAAAAAAAGATACAATGGGAACATTTTGATTTTTTATGGTTTTTTATTTTTAAAATCTAAAACTATTTATTCTAACTTATTTCAATTACTGAAAATACATCAAAGCATAGTAAATTTTTCATGAAAGTCTTAAATTCCTTTGCGAAGATGGTATTTTTATTTTATAATTTTATAAAGTAAAAAATTTATTAATTTTGACAAAGCTTACCAAATCACCGGACTACCGGTCAATAGTTAATAAGGATGAACCCCCTAGGACTCCTTAAATTCTAATAAAAGATTGAGGCGGCAACGGCGGCCGGGCGGGTCCTTGGTGACGTCCCTGCTCAAGAGACGAGGTGGATTAGCTGGCAGGGTTTTAAAGAGACTTGCCCTACTAAAAAACTCACTAGAACAAGGGACTAAGTCTTACAATGCAGTCTTCCTTGCTAGCAGGGCTATAACAGTTGCCGCTGTTGGTGCAATAAACGGTCTCCGTTTCAACATCGGAAGGATCAGAAGGAATAGCTTGGCAATCCAGTGTTTTTGAAAGCGAAACCCATTTATGAGCTCTGAAAGCCGAAGTCAAGGTAGTTGTTTCGGACCAGGACGCGTATAGGTAGTGGGGACAGTTAGACTTAACTATTTCTTTTTCATACTAAAGATATCAAAATAGGTAACTGAACTAAGGCTTTTAACTAGTAGCAGTGGGCTGGCCGCCTGAGGTCATTAACGGTTGAGGTGCAGATTGAGGCGGGTAAGATTTTTGGGCAGAGGTGTATGGGTAAGGCCTTCAATGAAGTGATAAGTTTTTTTTATTTAATATAATTCAATCCAATGTAGGTAAATTAGATATTCATCACTATCTATGTCAATTATTTAGTATGAATTTAATTTGCATGAGGTTGAAATCAGGGGCGGATACATGGAACTCTAGGGGTGTCTCAAGACACCCCTAAAATTTGGGAAAACGATTATTCAACCTCCGGTAGTAGTTTCGTATGGGTATACAAAATATAATTGGTAATCCGGGACACCCTAACATTTGAAAAAATGATTATCCTACCCTCGATAATAGTTTGCTTATGATTAACAAAATATAAGTGGTAGTCCGTGTTATTCCAACATAGGACACTACTATTATCAAAATATTCTTTTTTTATCGAATTATCAAACATATTCTAATTATGTTGCTACTCATTTGTTATTCTATTTTAAACATCATGCAACAGTAAAACGCTATTTCTTTATCCCCAACTCTTTACAATACCTAATAATCAAACTACGTACACGCTACCCTTAATTTTGAATTGATTTTATGGTTACACGGCAAGTGTTGAAAGAGTCTTTTCTACTTTGAGCTACATTAAGAACAAGGTTAGAAATCGAATATGTGATAAGTTCTTGAAGTATTGTCTAGTAGGATATGTAGATTTTTTTTGAACGGTGCATACACGAAGTTTATTTTATATTATTTTTTCAAAATATGAAAACACATCATGAATTTTAATAAAAAAATTTTATACAAGTATGATATTTTTAATATATGAATTATTTAATTTATTATTTAATTAAATTTAATTGTTGAAGAGGACACCCCTGTGAAAATTTTCTGAATCCGCCACTGGTTGAAATCAACGTACCACATATAATTTTAGGAGTCTCACGTAGACTTTTAAATAAAATGTCTACTAAATAATAGGGCAACAATTTACTTATCACGCATTCACGCTCATCGAACAACTTCAAATACATAACCTGCAAAAGCACCTATTTATCCTCTAAATTCACCTGAAACATTTCAATAATCCAAATCTATTTCGTCAATATTGGGCCTCGACTTGGAGGATCCTTAGTGGACATGGATCTAGCGAAATTAAAAACCGATACAAGTCGGCCCACCGAACCCCGTGGTGTCCTCGTTTCGTTCAGGCGAGTGCAGCAAAATTAGAAGAATGAATAGCTTGTCTACATTCTACACATCTATCTATATCTATCTATCTATATTATATATTATGACAATTCAAAAAAAAAAATTCTTGCCACATAAGTACTTGGAGGATCCACAATTTGCCAAGTTGGACAACTTTTTTACAAACAAAAAATTAGTTATTAATATATTTATGGAGCTACCTCTCTTTTTTTAATATTTCCATTTCTTTTATCCAATTATTCTTTTTCATTTATCCATTTATTCTTTTGTCTTTAATAATAAGTTACATTTTGAGCGAGCTAGGGTTTCCAAGCTCATGTCGGCGGAGACCTCGCCGCCGGCAGGAGGAGGTCCGGGCTTCCCGTCACAGCCAGATGTTGGAGCGGGCCAACGTCGACCACCAACAGAGTCCTCTTCTCCGAACCCGAAGGGCGACAAGGAGGCTCAACACACAAAGAAGAGAGCAAAGCAGACAATGGAGCAGCCGAGTATAGGTATCGCTGTGGATGAAACTATGCCGGAGGTCATCCCTGATGGAACTACGCCGATCAAGAGCCCGAGACCAGCAGCATGGGCGCAAAGCATGGGTGCAGCGAGGAAACTTTTTGGAGATAGTCAGCGGATGGACGAGTGGTACACAGCGGAGTCTGACTCCGAGGATATCGCCGCAGGCATCCGCGAAGACGGGCAGGAAGCTAATGATGTCCTAGACGAGGACCCTAAGTGTCCCCCGATCCAATTTTCGGCCGCGGAGGAACGCCTATTTTGCAGAGATCTCCGGTCGGCACTGGTGGTTAAAGCCCTAGGCCGATCAGTGTCGTACACTGCCATGTCTATCCGCCTCAATGCCATCTGGGCGAAGGTGGGGGGTATCCAGGTTACCTCCATGAAGAAAGGATATTTCCTAATTCGTTTTACAAGTGGAGTAGACTACGAGCGGGCCATCACAGGTGGACCATGGATGATCGGACCGAGCTACCTCACTGTTCACATGTGGGATAAACATTTTAACCCGTATGAACACGAGATATCATCCACGGTGGTCTGGGCACGCCTTCTGGATCTTCCGATACATTATTTCCACCAGGAAGCGGTGATGAAGATAGGGCGTCGCATGGGCAAACCAATACGCATTGATGCCGCCACGCGCACAAAGGCTCGAAGTGACTATGCGAGAGTGTGTGTTCAGGTCGATCTCACCAAACCACTCCTATCACAGTTTACCATTTATGGGAAAAAATATTTCATCCAATACGAAGGTTTGGATAAGATCTGCCTAAGTTGTGGTACGTACACAGAGATAGGTGCATGCCCATGCACGCAGGCACAAACTCCGATGGAGGTTGACAGCAGCAGTGCGGTGAACCAATCGGCAGCTGAAGAACCCCAACAGGAGGCTCTATATGGTGATTGGATGATAGCAAAACGAAAACCGAGGCAACAGAATAAGGAGCAACCCACTCGATCTCAGAAGGGGGGAGGCAGCCAGCTGAAGGGGAAGGAACCAACTAGAGACTCTGCGCCCGGGTCTCGGTTCGACGTGTTGCAAGCGGAAGACCTGCAGGAGACCTCAGTCGAGCACCCAGCCCCCGGAGGAGATATATCACAGGAAAAATCGACCACCTACACCCATGTGAAGAAAAAAAAGTGTCCCAGGCTGATACTGTTGGGCCGAAGATTACCCCAATGCAGAATTCCTCACTCGAGAAAGCATCCTCACACCGCGGGTTACACAACGTGGAGAAGCTGCCGGAAACACCAAGGAGAGCTCCCCATAATGTGCAAACAACCATGGTTGGAACGGGGAAAAGTACTCCCCCTATCTCATCTACCCAAATATCCGAGGGTCGCAAGGCGCTGTCAGCTCCGCGACCTGGCCAGGATAGAATGGGAGGGGGACAGTATGATCATGACATGGTGGAGGAGCCTTCGGACGATATTGGAAGCCCCAAAGGCCCCCATAGGGCTCTTGACGGTGAAAGGAGGACCAAATCGACGATGAACATTGACGGGGTCAACCCGTCAGAGAATTAATCCCAAGGGAGTTTCTTTCCTCTACCCCTATTATTAATGGATTGTAAAATTTTTACTTGGAACTGTAGGGGAGCTGGTAGTAGAGGTTTTTTACGAGCTTTTTATGAGTACCGCAGGAGGTTTCGCCCTCATATTGTGATTATAGTCGAACCTCGCATTAGTGGGGCTCGAGCCCTCGAAGTCATCAGGGATATGGGCTATGATAGCAAGCTTGTAGTCGATGCGATTCAATTTTCAGGAGGGATTTGGGTTGTTTGGAATGAGAGTGAATTTACCATTACCAGAATTGACTCACACCCTCAATGTTTGCATATGCAGGTTCAAATTGCGAACACTCAGGTGGCGCCATGGCAGTTATCAGCGATATATGGTCACCAGCTCCCGTCCAGCGACGAGCTCTGTGGGAGTATCTGCGGTCGATCGCGGAGGATGTAGAGGGTCCCTGGTTATTAACTGGTGACTTTAACTCCATCCTCCACCCTTCAGAGAAGCTGGGGGGAGCCAATTTTGACTCCGCTCGTATCAGGGAGTTCCAGAACACCGTCCACGACATTGGTCTTCGTGATATGGGTTTCAAAGGGCCCCCTTTCACCTGGTTCCGATTTGGGCTGCGGGAGAGGCTTGACCGTAGTATGGCCAACACGAGCTGGACTCTGACATTCTCGGAGACCTCTGTCAAGCACCTCCCTCGGCTCAAGAATCGGACCACCGGCCCCTGTTAACCTCACCAACTGCGCTAGTCCGGCCGGCGGGAGCTAAACCCTTTAAGTTCCTCGCTGCCTGGCTCACGCACGAGGGATTCAGACCCATGACGGATGCAGCTTGGGCGAAGGGCACCAATTTTACAGACTCGGCTGCTGCGTTCGCCCAGGACGCAATGATGTGGAACTGGCGTGTTTTCGGCCACATAATGTGGAAGAAGGATAAGTTGATCCGCCGTCTCGAGCAGCTGGAGCTGGTTCCGCCGAACCTGAGGAATGAGGACAGGCTTATCCAAGTTCAGGAGGAGCTTGAGATCATTCTCTTCCAGGAGGAGCTGTTATGGCTTCAGAAGTCAAGGACAGAAAGGATCAAGGCGGGGGACCAAAACACAGCGTATTTCCATGCTAAGACACTCCGGCGGAGGAAGAAGAACCGGGTGACTATGCTGAAAAATGAGGAAGGGGAGTGGATTGAAGACCCGGCTGCTCTACTGGACATGGCAAAGGTCTTCTTCCAAACACTCTATACAGACGAGGGAGGGGACCTACCCGCCATGGATTCGGGCTTCCCGCTGCTAGAGGCCTCGCGATGGGCTGCCCTTGATGTTCTCTTGGACGCCGCGGAAGTCTATGGTGCCATTCGGTCGATGGGGGCTCTCAAAGCCCCGGGACGTGACGGCCTCAACCCGATGTTTTTCCAACGTTGTTGGGAGACGGTGGGGCCTTCTCTGGTCCACTTGGCGCAGGAGTGTTGGAACCAACCGGAGAAGATCCGGGACATCAACTCGACGTTACTGGTTCTCATTCCCAAAACTTCGAACCCGGTGACGATTGACCAGTTCCGCCCAATCAGCCTGTGTAATGTGGCCTACAAAGCTATAACAAAGTGCCTGGCTGAACGGTTGAAAAATCTGATGCCAGATTTGGTTCACGAGACCCAGACCAGCTTCGTGCCTGGCAGACAAATTACAGACAACATATGCATTCTACAGGAGGTGGTTCATTCTATGAGAGCTCGCAAAGGACGTCGAGGGTGGATGGTTTTAAAGATGGATCTGGCGAAAGCCTATGACAGAATCAGATGGGGATTTGTGCGGGATACGTTGGTTGCGACAGGGGCTCCAGAAGGCTTTGTCAACCTCACGATGGCCTGCATTTCATCCTCGAAAATGCAAATTCAATGGAATGGCGGGTTAACGGAAGAATTTCAGCCATCCAGAGGTCTTAGACAGGGATGTCCTCTATCTCCCTATCTTTTTACGCTTTGCATGGAACGTTTGGGCCATCTAATTGATGAATCGGTAAGAGCAGGTCGCTGGCAGCCCATAAAGCTGACCAATAACGGCCCTGCATTGTCCCATCTTTTTTTTGTAGACGACCTCATCCTCTTCAGCGAGGCCAATGTCACTCAAGCTCAAGAGATCATGAACTGCTTCGACAGATTTGGAGCCTCATCGGGACAGCAGATCAGCCGCCCAAAGTCCCGAGTCTTCTTCTCGGCTAACCTGACCACGGATCACCGAAGGAGCATCATTGAGGAATTGGGAATCCCTGAGACTCTGAATCTAGGACGTTATTTGGGGGTCCCGGTGATACACGACAGGGTTACTAAAGCCACGTTCACGGAGCTGATTGATAGAATTGATGCAAGGCTCGCGGGTTGGTCGGCGTCATCCATGTCAGTGGCTGCACGAATAACCCTTGCACAATCTGTACTCTCAGCGCTTCCTGCCTACACGATGCAGACGGCCTTCCTCCCTGCGAACATCCGGGAGTACATAGACAAAAAAATCCGGGCCTTTGTCTGGGGTAGTTCAGACCAGGGAAGAAAAGTCCACCTAGTGGACTGGGAGACGATTTGTAGGCCAAAGGATGAGGGCGGGCTGGGCCTCAGGGGTGCAACGAGGATGAACGAGGCCTTCATGTTGAAGATCCTATGGCGTTTGATGACGAAGCCAGAAGAGCTCTGGGCGCGCGTCATCCTCGCCAAGTACTACAGGAACACGAACGACGGGCTCCTCTTCAAATCCACTGGACGCCTCTCCAATCTTTGGCGGGGGGTCCTGCGCGTACGAGACCTGGTGGAAGTCGCCTCTGCTTGGAACATTCGGAACGGCCGTGTGGCTCGGTTCTGGAGTGGCCGTTGGGTGGATGATTCCACCGTCCTGAAGGACCATGCCCCGAACCTTCCGCCGGAGTTGGTGGATGCGCCTGTCGCCGAATTTGTCCTAAACGGTGAGTGGAACGTACCATTTTTAACTGCCTTCTTACCGAGCTCGATTGTTTCGCAGGTACTTCTCCACCCTGTGCCGATAGAAGGTGAGCCCGATGTGCGCTACTGGCGGCTGACGCAGAACGGGGTCTTCTCATTTCGCACGGCCTACGAATTGACAGATGAAGCTGCAAGCCCAGCCACGAGACAACCCATCTGGAGATCAATTTGGAAGACACCCACGATGCAGAGAATACGGGCCTTCCTTTGGCTGCTCAATCACAACCGACTCCTGACGAATGCCGAGAGGGCCCGACGCCACCTCACAACAAATGTCGACTGCAAAATCTGCGGTGGGGGCCCGGAGACTGCGCTCCATGTCGTGAGAGACTGCCCGTTTGCGAGAGCCACTTGGGCGGGGATACTTGAAGATGAACCTGATGTTGACTTCCTTGAACCCGAGCTACACAGGTGGTCAATGCATTATTTATCTGGGCGGAGTAAAGTCATTGATAGTACTCTTTTTGCAGGCACGTGCTGGCTTCTGTGGAAGAACCGGAATGATCACCTGTTTCGAAGCGAGTTGAAAACCCATGAGCAGCTCCAGTTCTCCACCAAACAGCTGCGGCTTCAAATAACTAAAGCTTTTGAGAAGGAGAGCAATACTTTCGGAGATGGGGGACTCCGAGAGAGGCGGGATATTAGCTGGCAACTTCCGCCGAGTGGTTGGGCCTGCGTCAACACCGATGGCTCAGCCACTTACTCTCCTGCGAGCACGAGCTGTGGCGGCATTGTGAGGGGAGACGATGGCCGGTTTATCAAAGCTTTCACAGCGAACTTAGGAGGGGGTTCGATCACTCGTGCAGAGCTGGCTGGAATTGCTTATGGGTTGAGATTCGCTTGGGAGGAGGGGATCAGGAAGGTTGTTCTACAGACAGACTCCTGCACTGCCCGCACTTTGATCGAGAACGCGACTCCGGAACATCCTCATTACTCATGCATTGCAGATATCCGCCAATGGCTAGCTCGGCCTTGGCTTGTCAGGATAGAGCATGTTTACAGAGAAGCGAATTTCGTGGCTGACCACCTCGCTTCCATTGGCCATTCTGTTCCGATAGGGGTTCATGGGATTCAAAATCCGAGTAGTACTCTGCTGTATTGGTTGTATTTTGATACTCTGGGGATTCAAACACCCCGTTTCGTTAATTCTTAATTCAGGCTAGGGTGCCCTTTGCGCCCTGATGCTTACCAAAAAAAATAAGTTACATGTTGATTAACTTAACCAAACACACATAAATAATAAATTTTTTGTTAAATAAATAAAATATAAATAAGAAAACAGAGAGTGACATATATCACATATGTTTAAACAAAAAATATCTGATTAAACCTTATGAAGTAAATTTTCTACTCATTTTTACTAAAATTGAATGATAAGTTACATTTTGATGAAAAAATTTAACAAACATACACATAAACAATTATGGTTTGATCGATTAAACCAAAATATATATGAAAAGAGAGAAAATAAACATTTGACATTCAATTACTTTTGAAAAATAAACTATATTACTTTATATTTTGTTGCAATGAAGCACTCTCTTATTCGTACAGTATATATATCTATAAAATAAAACAAGTATTATTTAGCAAAATGTTAGAGTATAATCTTGATTGAGTAGTTACAGTTATTTATTTAAAAAAAACTTCTTATTCATATCGATCATGTTCTACCTTAAATTCTTCATATGAAGAGGAATCGCATGTGCAATAATTTGATAATGTGTCCTAAGTTCACATTAATAATATTTTCTCTATATCATGTTGATTGAGCAAGCTCTATTGAGGTTCTAAGTCGTACGCTAAGAAATTTTCTTTCAGACTTGGAGTTATCGTCGACGATTATAAATCAAAATTTTCAAAATGACATAAGTAAGATTGTTGACGAACTTTGACTTCATATCCTAGGACGAGACACAAGATTTTTTGAAAAATAATAGATGTGAAGGTTAGAAAAATCTTTGTTGAGAATCTACGATAAACATCACGTTTCAT